CTCAGCAAGCACCTCAGGACCACGGGGAGTAGGGTTCCCCGAAGCCTCCAGCACCTGACATCTCCACCTGTTTCTTATCATCTGTGCATACATTAGTTTGCTAGCTCTGTCCGACGCACTCGGCATTGTTTATAGAGATGAAGGAAAATAACAAAACAATCAAACTATCTCCACACTCGCCCTTTGCAAAATCCCCTTCCAAACGAACTGCTCACATTCATGAAATACAAGGTAATAAAAGAGTTATTAATACCCAAACCTGGTCAGTCCTTCCATTTCTTGAAACTTGCACACAAACCGAAGAAACCCACTCAGCTTTAAAAAGGTCGATCATTTTGCTGTCTACAGCTTCATCTCTGAGAGCTCTGGCTTCCTCCGTCTCTGTGTGAGCTCTCTCTCTCTCCCTCTGTGCGTCTCTCTACTTCCACGGAGAGGAGAGGCTTCCTTCTCTGTTTCTGCCTCTGGATGAAGGATGAATGCTAAATACACAGTTTGAAGGGATTTTTTCCCTTCTTCTTAGGTGAACAGTTGGAAATCTAAAATCTTTCTCTCCCGAATGACTTAATATGCCACTCACTCAACACAGAACATTTATATAAAGAGGCATAAACACAACCAAGAATTCTACTTAAAAAAAGAAAACAACCCTCCCTCTGAGCCTATTCTGTTTACTTAACTATTAGCACTTACCCTGAGATGTGCCATAAATGCTCTATTCCAAATGTACAAAAGCCAACCACATCTCAGCTGAGAATTAAACAGTTTTAATGTCTTCAAATCCATGCTCCTGCTCCAAGCCCTGATACAGGCAGTCACTGGCAGCCGTACAACAGTTCTCAACAGCAGACATCTGATTCTTGACATTTAAAAATAACAATATTGGGAAAAAGGGGAGGTTTTTTTTTTTTTTTTTTTTTAATTAACCAAAACAGCTTGTGAGTGAGCACATAACACCCATTGAGTGTATTGATTGGAATTTACAGTGATAACGTGAGAGCCCTTGTCAGGTACAGGCTAAAAGCATACAGACCCCTCAAGTCTTAACACAGTCCTGGCAAGAACCTGCTGCATTAAGGACACTCTGAAACTCTCTAAAGGCAGAAGATGCTCTTTAGTGTTTAAGTTCTATTATTTAGTGAATGCTTATTTATCATTATTAATTAGTGAATGAATTCACTAAATAATACAAATAATACTAATTAGTGGATCTTAATTTAGTTTTGAATCAAGTTAGGGATTTTGCTTTTCTTTCCACTGGCAGCCTGATTTCACATTTGCATTCTTTTACGGGCATGGACATACCGTAGGTCAAATGGGCACATGAGCTTGATTCCGACAGAGACAAATAATAAAATAAATCCATGGATTAACATCTACATCTGAAACATGTGACAGAACTGGGCGGACCTGGGGCCAGCTGTTGGCTGCCCTCCCTACTATGCACATTCCTCGTGCCTCTTGTCAGTTTTGTCTATAAAGCTAAAGCGAAGGAGGACTCCTGAGAAGAGGAGGGATAATGGCGGAAGGGAAATAGAGTATGAATATGATCGGAGCTTGATAGGCAAATGAATGAAACTATCAATGATTGATGAATATGAATATCAAAGCAGAAACCCATTTTTGTATAAGAAAAAGTTGTGAGACTATTTAAAGCAAATACAATATTTTTCACAGTGGTTTTGAATATTAAGTGAGGCCCAGGTGGTTCCTGACAGATAAAGAACATGTGGTGGAGGTCTTTGTCTGTAAGTGGAGAGTGTAGGGATTGAGCCTGGTAAATGAGAAGAATTCAGACTTCTGAGGGAAAAGACTGTTTCGGCTCACCATATAGCCATGTGCCCTTGGCCAAGTCATTAGACATAGTTTCCTTAAATCCATTTTTATCCCCTGTGAAGTGCTTTAAAAATTTTAAAGAACAAATTAAAGTAACATTTGAGAAGCATCTGCTTTGGGCGTGCGCTGATGAAGCGAGAGTCATAGGCCTCCCAATTCTTGGAAATTGCTCTAAATAGTACACTGAGATACTCAGTTTAAAAATGTGCAGCAAGATGGCAGCTTCCTAAAACCAAGTGCCTCGTTTCTCAGAGGATGAAGGGGGCTCCAAAATTTAAAGGATGGCTCCAGCAACATCCCCACTAGAGGTCCATAGGGAATGAAAACCTAGCATTCCCTGCGGAATGGAGCACTGTATGCTAACCACATGCTGTAACGGTGATGGCCAATAGGACTCTGAATCCAGCCCTAAGTTGGGCAGCCTCGAAAGTAGTATTACTAGAAAGCAAGCAAAACGACTCTTTGTTTCCCCAAATTTGCCTCTAGGAATGAGTTTATCCATGAAGTCGTCCCACAAGAGTGATGGGAGCCAGTTAATCCTATTTTCTGAGATGAGTATCCGCAGGATGTCAGATCCTTTCTGTCTCCTTCCAGAAGCAAGAGAATTGTTGGGACTCAGGTCTCAGAGGTGTCTCCTACTTGACCCCTCTTCACTGATACTCAGTTCTGCCCTCCCTTTCTGTGCAGGAACACACCGACCTCAGCACAGGGACAGGGTGAGGCTGTGGTTCTCCATGTTGTCTGTTTAAGAACATGATCGTGTCCCCTCCCCAGACTCAGGATTGTCATTACGTTTTCATCTTGAAGGCCATGTACAGAACGGGAGCTCAGTTAATGCCAACGTTTAATTAAGTATTTTGCAATGCAGATTTCAGTGTACATTTAAAAGGATAAATAAATATGGTTCAGGATTAATTCTTGTCCAAGTTATGAAAGAGAATATTAACTTTTTAACAGTTTCAAGGATGAAAAAGTGACATTTTTATAGGTAGCAAGACGGGAATGGGACAGAGGGGAGCATGTGTGAGGTGTCTCATGATTAGTATTTCTAACTAGGTGATATATATATTAGTTAGTAGTTGCTTCAGATTAGTTTTGCTTATAGCTTTCTTAAATATTTTATTTATTAAAAAAAAAAACTGGCCCGAGGAAGGTAAGTAATTTGAAGGTAGACATTTCTAGTCATTACAACTAACTGCCACACTTTGATCTTAAAGATCTCATTCTGATGTTACTGAAGAATGTTCAAAATTGTTATCTTGAAAACCCTACTTTCTCCTCCCTCACCTTTCTACCTAGCTTTGGCATGAAGTGGGAATAGCCCAAATTTCAGTCCTTCTACCTCCAGGTCATAGGTCAAGGTCCCTCAATATTTTAGAGCCATAGTTTCTTCTTTTGTCAACAGTTCTATCAATCTAGCTTTCAGAAGAGCTATGAAGATGGACCATGCTCATCACCATGTCTAATACATAGAGACTTCACAGTTAATGTCCAGCTTCCTCTTCCTTTCTCTACCTTTGCTCACTTTACCACTTTTCGAGATTTTGGACTTAAAAGGCATAAAGAAGGAAAGGAAAATAAATTTCAGGAAGGAAGAACATGAACTATTGTACAAGCTATTGTATAACTAAGAATGGCTGGTGTTGGAGGCCTGGACATTGTCCTTCTCCAGCCTCATTCTCCTCATTTCTCATATCCCACCCGCCAGGACTCACTGTAGTACAGGCTTTCACAGTCACCGGAGACAGCCTTTTCATAGAAAGCATGCCAGTTTCTAAAACATCTCTATCTCCTTACTCATCCTTTCTTCACGACAGTTTTTTTTAAATCAAAGCACTTTCAGTGCTAGATACAATTTATGTTCTTAAAGAACTTCTAAATCCTCAACCTGCAGCACACAGAATGATCGTTTAGTGAAGAGACTTGGGTTCTCGTCCTATCTCTGCCATGTGTTAACAGCGCAGCCCATGAAGCCTTTATCTGAGATCACTTTTTTTTTCAACACTAAGTGGGTTAGATGACAGCTAATAGTTATTGCTTCCAGCCCTGTCTGTGCAGCATGCATGCTTGGTGCCTGTGGGGTCAGAAGAGGGTGTCCCATCTCCTGGAAGTGGAATCACAGATGGCTGCAGGACATTGTATGGCCGGTGGGAACTGTACCTGGGTCCTCTGCAAGATCAGCCAGTGCTCTTAACCACCGAGAATTTTCTCCAGCTTCTCTTGATCATACAGTAAACTAGGAAATCCTACCTTCAGTGGGAAATATGAACAGTATTTGTGACACGGTAGCTTCTGCTAAACTTTGGACATGAGCCCTGTCCCTGTCCTTGCTCAGGACTGGCCGCCTAGAATATTCTCAGCAGTCAGGATAGGTACTCCCAAGAAAGCTATATTTACCAGAAAGAGTTTAATAAAGGAAAAATAAGCACCTTCTCACTGGAGGATTTTTTTTTCCTTGCATTTCTTCTGAAGGAGAGAATGGAGATGAGTGTGCTGTGTTTTTAGGGTCTAGTAAAAACTTTCAGGGAGAGATAGGGCCAGCCGGAAGGAAAGAGAGCCACAAATGCACTGAAAGGGGGTGGGGGTGGGGAGGAAGCCACGAGGGTTACGGGTTACGGGTTACGATGCCGCAGCCCTGTGTCTTAGGAAAAAGCAATCGGGGAGGGAGGAAGAGAGGAAAGGCGGCTCTGCCTGCCTGCGCCGGTATTTTTATCCAGGTGAATCTCGTTCAAGTGAACTGGAGGCAGAAGGAGAAAGAGGAGCAGGCGTGGAAAGAGAAGAGCAGCCTGCCTTGGTGGCTGTGTGTGGGACTTACCCCCTGACACACTAATTGTATTTTACCGCACAGCCGTTTCCCCTTCACCCTCCTCCTCTCCCTGGGCTTCTGCAGCTGTGTTTAGCAGGTCCCTAAACTGCCTCTGTGTCCACCTCTGCAGGACACCATCCTGCTATTCTGTGTCTTGGAAAAGGGGCAGGCTGGAGCTAACCACTGCAATGAAGGAGATGCAGGCACCATATCTAACACCTTAATAGAACTAGCTAAAGCTGGTAGGAGCTGCCTCCTTGAATTTCCCGTTTCTATAAACAGTTCAGAATAGAGCCAAGACCAGAACCCCGACCAGGTCGTGAACTACCTCACAGCATCTATCATTGAACACAGATAGTACCTGTAGGTACTGGCAGGACCGCTCTTGCTGGCAGGCCTCAGACTTCACCATGGCCTGATCCATGTTCACCGAGGCTTTCTGGTAAACCTCTCGGGCTCGGCTCACGGTGAGAGTGGAGGACCAGGCGCTCTTCTTCAGAAGCGGGGCGTCCAGGTTGACTGGCAGATTGGCGCAGGTGGAGCACTTGACGTCGTTGCTACTCCGGGAGGCCTTCACGGCTTGCTCGCTGATGGTATTGTAGGCTTCCATGAAGTACTGCGAAGCGGAGCGGTCGGGGCACCTGCCCATGGTCATCACGCCCGAGGGCGTGTGGTACAGGCACATGTCGCCGTCCAGGTTGTCGTCCGAGCTCCACCAGCTGGGAGAGGTCGGGGAGGCATTAGAGGCGTTGGATCTGGCCTTGGACTCTGAACGCCTCTCCTTGCTCTTGCTGCGCTTGCCGTACCTCACGGTTTGCGACTCATCGGGGCTGGCCTTGCCCCCATTGACGCTGCCTTTGGATGGCCCCTCCAGGGAGTGAGACTTGGTGAAGAGCTTCTGGACCGAGTGGACCAGGTGCCGGATGCGGCCGGGGCTGTCGCTGCGATGCTCCACGGCGGTGCGCTTGTACTGGAGCGTGTGGTAGCCATCCCGGCTGAGCGGTAGCTGCCTCTCAAACTGATCCAGCAGGTTGGAGGGGAGGCGATTGGCCTTGGTGGCCAGGGTTCGTGGCACCAGGGCACTCTCGTCCTTCAGCTCCTGCTGTGAGGTGTAGTGCCGGCGTGGGAAGGTGCTGCTGGCCAGCGGGTCGCTGAAGGGCCCCACGCACTCGGCCTGGAAGGAATTCCGCTGGGTGTAGTAGGGATGATCGGCTGGGTGGTGGTCCACAGGGCTCAGCAGGTACGGCTTGTGGTCTGAGTGGTGTGACAGGGAGTCACAGGCCGACTCGCAGGTGATTCCATGGTGGTGGCTGCGGCTACCTGATAACCCTTTCATTGCTGACTGGAAGCAATCGCAGGGGTCATGGGAACCCCGTTAGGTTCCAGACCCGTCTTGGGCAAAGACCTGAGGGATGGAGAGTAAGACAAGGTGTTAGCTCTTGGATAGTGCTCTATTCTGTGACTGCATGCCCCTCTTGGCTTCTGGGGGGACTTCAGGCTGCTCCTAAAAACAGCTTTCTCACGTTATTGGAAAGGTCCCTCTCACCTTTATAAAGGTATAAGGCTCACTCTGGGACAAGGAAACAATGAAACACAATCTTACTGACGACGGTTGTTTTAAGACAGATTCTTGCTACACAGCCCAGGCTAAAGCACTCCTTCTTGCCTCTGCCTCTGAATGATGGGATCCCTCTGAAGTACCACCTCGCGGGCTGACACCAGCCAGTACCACCACACTGAGATGAAAGCACTGAGCACCACCCACGGCGTGAAATCTTTTCCAAGTTCTCGACACAGTAACTGTTTTCCTTGATGAGCCCAGCAGCTGAATGTAGCTTCCCTTTGCTTTTCTTCTTTGCGTGATTCTTAATAAGATAGTTTATTATTTCTCCTACGTGCGGGTGTGGGGATCGATCTATCTATCTATCTATCTATCTATCTATCTATCTATCTATCTATCTATCATCTATCTATCTATCGGCACGTGTTGATGCCAGTTGAAACCACACATATGGGAGCTTCTGGAGCTGGAGTGAAGGTGGTTGTAAGCTACCCAAATTCAACACTGGAAATTGAACTGAGCAGTATTCAGCCTCTGACCCCAATTTACACACTAATCACAGACTTAGTGTATCTAGAGGGCTAGGTTTCTTTGGAAAGCATTTCCTGGTACCAACGGCAGAGAGTCAGTTATGGTACTGTGATTTTATGGCAGCCACGCTCTAGAACCCACGGGATTATTTGCTTCTGTCTCTCCAGGTTAAAGTTCATTGCAGCCTGGCTTAATGCTTTGTCACTTTTACATCTTCCTATCCATCAACAAGCTGTTACTATAGGCACAAAGAAAGCATTCTGTAAGTGGAGATTAAAAAACAAAAACAAATACAAAAAACAATATGAACCAAAGAAAGCCGTGGCACATCTTTAGAACATAACTTGGTGTCTTCTGTCTGTCACAACTTCCTATTTGGAATTCTGTAGGAATACCTATAATACCCAAGCAAGTCTGCATATTAATGAGCTGCCGATAGCAAGGCAAACATTCAGAGCTGTGGTGAAACCTGCCTGTGTATTTCTGTCCTCCGAGAGCCAAGTGTCCTGTAAACAGAGTAGGTAAGGAATGGCACTGGCTGAGTCTCAAGCCATCTTTTCTTCTGGTTGCTATGGCTTGGATCCTAAATAGCCCCAAAGGTCAGTGTGCTGAGGGCCAGGCTGCCAGCCTGCAGTGTAACTGGGGGGTCATGGAGACTTTGGTAGAGGAAGCCTAGTGGGAGGAAGTCAGGCCACTGGGGAGCTGCGATCTAGGTTCCTTCCTGCTCTTGCCTTTTAATCCCTTCCTCCAACATGTATTTCTGCTACAGTGTGGAGCTCCATGGCGTGCTGCCTCACCACAGGTCAAAGCCCACAGGACTAAGTGATCTTGCATGTCATCTCTCCAAGGCCAGGAGACAAAACAAATCTTTCTTTTTCTTTTTTTTTTTTTTAAGTTGATCTTCTTGGTTATTTTGCCATGGCACAGGAGGGCTAACACATCGGTTTAAGGTTTTTGCTAACTGGTCACAAGTAAAACAGAATGAGCAGGGGAAAGGCTCTTGCCCCTGAGGAGGTGGACTGAAGATTCTGGGCTTTGTGCTCAGCTTAGCCTGCAGGAGAGGCTGCCCCTGCAGTCCATGGAGTGGGAGTTCACACTGAGTTCATATCTGAGCTCAGGTTGTCCTCAAGCTCTGAAAACAGGCTGTGGCTCTAGCAGGAAACCTTATTTTCTTTTGACTTTAACACAGTGTGCTCTTCAGGAGCTGACCAAGGTCATCCTGACAGACTGTTTAAACTTTTTTTTTTCTTTTTGAAAGCCTCCTACAGTACAAAAATTGTCATTTTTAAGCATTGTTCTGGAAAGACAACTCAAAAATGTCATTTCAGATTTTCAAAAAGTGAAAGATAAATGGCTAGTGGACATATAGGGTAGGATTAAACGCACACACCTTGGCCCCATGAAGAAAGACATGGACTTTAGAGAGTTCAAAGCTTGCCTTTTCCAGGAGACACATGACACCTGTGAGCTCCAGGACAACACTGTCCCTGTCTATGCCTGCAGAGTCCTCACTTCCTCATCTCCTGTCTGTCAGTGCTTAGGGCTGAGCCTAGTGCCATGAACATGTCAGCAGGTGATCTCACCCATTCATGGCTCACTGGTTCAACACTACTGATGGAGGTTTTAACTACCAGCCTTTTGACATTGGTTAGTCCACTAAATTATGAAGGCAGAGACTCACTTTCGTCTATTCGGTCTCAAGTGCAGTATAAACACCTACTCACTGATAATGTATGCATGCAGAATTTCCCCAGGTGGTCCATGATGTCCTTCAGTGAAAATGTGACAGGGTGGCTGTACAGGGAATGCTGGGACAGCCATTTCCCAGTCATCTAGGTTTCAGTAAGGCAGAAGGTGGCAGGTGAGCACCTCTGAGATTTCTGCTTCTGCCTTGCCATGGCTCCCGAGTTCCACTTGTTTAGAGCCTAGCGACTTTGTCTGGCCCAATGACCAAAGGATATCTATACAAATACAGTATAGAGGAGGAGAGAGAGACAGAAAGAGAGAAAGAGAGACAGAGACAGAGAGATAGGGAGAGAGACAAGGAGAGTGAGACACACAGAGAGACACAGAGAAAGAGAGAGAGAGACAGACAGATAAAGATACCAAAAGGAATTAAAAACTCATGGTAGACATGCATTAGGAAAAGCCTATAAATACAATATTTTCTACTGAAGAGGTGCTAATAAAAAAGAAAAACCTGGGACAATCTTTTTTTTTTTAAAGATATATAGATATATTTTTATTATTTGTACAATATTCTGCCAGCATATGTGCCTGCACGCCAGTAGAGGGCACCAGATCTCACTATGGATGGTTATGAGCGACCATGTGGTTGCTGGGAATTGAACTCAGACCCTTTGGAAGAAGAGCCAGTGCTCTTAACCTCTGAGCCATCTCTCCAGCCCTGGGACACTCTTTTTATGAACCTATGATTACAGTAGTAGAGGATGGCAAGAAGGGATTTTAGAGGGGTTAAATAGCACTTTGACCAGGGTATGGTCAAGCAAACACGAGAAAGCTTTTCTCTATTAGCCATGTATCCTGGAAGAAAGTGTTGTCAAATACGGTCTTAACAGTAAAGATGGAGCGAAGGAAACAGCTAGGTGATGGAGCGGCTGCCTAGCATGAGAGACACCTTATGTTCAGTTCTAGCACAGCATTGAATGAATAATGTAAGCAGACAAACTAAAGAGGGGGATAGTCCTAGAGGATTTTACGCACAGGAAAACATTTTGGGCCACACTGAATTGGTTCTGAACATACAAAGTCTCACAAGATGAGACTTCAAACATGCCTTCTGCAGCAGCTGTGTCTTGGGTCGATATTTTGTGCTAAACGAAATTGCCAAGAGCTGAAGACACAAATTTACTCTAAAATGTACAGTATTATTTCAATCAGGTGTTCATTAATCATCTCCATACAGGAACAATGTTTTATGGACTAGGATAGTACCTGAGGACAGGCAGAGGGAAGAGTCTTTTTACAACCATCAATGATGAATTATGCTAAGTCATGTAACTAATGATAATTTATGTAAGCTACGCATACACAGTATGGTATTTAGTAAACTTTACATGAGCTATTTTCATCACAGGGACAAGCACTTAAACATCCTGAGAGGCTAGAACATTTTATCTGCTGAATACAGTAACTCTTGTGAAGGGACGTTGAACTTTTACTCATTTCCCTCATGTTACTAGGTTCTCAACCTGTGGGCCACAACCCCCACGGGGGTTTCATATCAGATATTCTGTATATCAGATATTTACATTATGATTTATTATTGTAGGAAAATTAAAGTTATGAAGTAGCGATAAAATAATTTTATGGTTGGGGGTCACCACACCATGAAGAACTGTATTAAAGGGTCGCAGCGTTAGGAAGGTTGAAAACCACAGCTCTATGTCATGGTAAATAAGGTCATAATAATGGCACTACACTATTGTAAATGTTTTAAAATGCTTAATCTCTTTTTCTGGTTAAGATCAAGAAAATTATCAGCTTGGCTCTTTCTGTAGAAGATCTTATAATGTCTTGCCATTTCAAAGGGAAACTAGATCAGTTTGTGGTTAAAAATTACAGCAGTTCTGTATTCCTTTTTTTAATTGGGTTATTTGGTTTGTTGGTGTCTAAACAGAAAATTCTCTATAAAGGAAGCTCTAATGTCTGAGAAGTCATTAGTCCTTAGCCATCGGGGAAAGGCAAATCAAAATGACCCTGAGATTCCATCTTACACCCACCAGTATGGCTAAGATACAAAAGCTCTAGTGACAGTACCTGCTGGCGAGGATGTGGAGAAAGGGAGACACTCCTCCATGGCTGGTGGAGTGTGAACTTGTGCAACCACTTTGGAAATCAACTTGGCAATTTCTTAGAAAACTGGAAATAGTTCTACCTCAAGACTCACCTCTACCACTCCTGGGCGTATAGTCAAAAGATGCTCCATCATACCACAAGGACACTTGACCAACTGTTTATAGCAGCTTTATTTGTAACAGCCAGAAACCGGAAACAACCTAGGTGTCCCTCAACCAAAGAATGGATAAAGAAAACATGGTACATTTACACAATGGTATACTACTCAGCTATTAAAAACAAGAACATCATGAAATTTGCAGACAAATGGATGGAGCTAAAAAAATATCCTGAATGAGGTAACCAAGACCCAGAAGGACACACATAGCATCTACTCACTTATAAGTGGATATTAGCCATATAGTACAGGATAGCCATGCTATAATCCATAGACCCAAAGAAAGCTAAGCAACTAGGAGAGTTCAAGGGAAGATTCTTAAATCCACTCAGAAGGG